GGTGATCGCCGAGCCGTTACAATGCACTGGCACGAAATTGCCCATTTACCCCATTCCCCATCGTGATCCATTGTGTTGCAGCGGTGAAAATCGTGCTTTTGTAGTTTAAACCGCGTTAAAATGGGGCTCCACCATGCGATCTCAGCCATGTTTTGGCGCTGTTTTCGAAAGTGATGCCCCGCCATCCAGGCCCAAAATCCAGGCGCCACGGATTGATCACAACACCCGCCATTTCCAACGAGAGAAAGACAGTTCCTTGCACCCTGCGCCGCCCAGGCTGTGCTCGTGCCCGGAGGGCGGGGCGCCAGCCAAGGGGCTGAAGCTCACACCGTATCGGCTCATCCAACGCCGTCACGAACCTGATCTGACAGCACTTTCTGTGTTTCTGACAGGTTACGGTGCGGTTGCCAAAGCGTCCGTTGGCAAATTGTTGCTGACTTAAGGCGGCACCGTGCACATTTCCCTCTGGAGAGATTCTCGAAGCTGTGGACTTATGCTCCATCGATTCGGTCGCTGACCCGTCAAAATTGTCTCGTAGACCTCTTTGACCGCCTCGGACAAAAGGTCCAATAGCGTAACGAGCCCTACAGCCCAAGCCCCCTTACAAACGGATAAATCAATAAGCGCTCCATTCCTGCCGCCCCGTTACGTAGTGGTACAGCTGATAAGCTGACTGAAAGCGTACGTAAGGAGTATTCCGCGGTCACTGTTCGCTCCATCGACGGCGTAAGCGTGGGTGACATATATTCCTCACGTACTCTCCGGAGGGTGCCTGACGGTCAACCGACCCCAGCGTGATCGGAGTCATAAAGCGTGGGGAATATTCCTCACGTGCTCCCAACCGACGGGGCAGTGACGGTCCAGAGTCCCCAGCGGCGCGACGGTCGCGGCGCAGGCACAGATCCAAAGGCCTACCAAGCGGATCTGGATGACAGGCACCCTCAAATGGGAACCCGTGGTTTGTGCCACATAAGGAGGTGGCCAAGAGCCCCGTGCTCAGACGCGGCGCTCCACGCGTTTTTGGCCAGAGCCCCGCCAGGCTGCAGTACATCGCGCAGTACATTTCCGTACGCAATCGCGTACCCCCCCGCACCGTAGATGAAGCCGATGGCACTGTACCGGTCACCGTTGCCCCAACCTTCGCAGGTTCGGCGCCGGCGCTGCTCGATTCTCGGACCGGCGGGGCGCCCGTCACACTTGGCGGGGCAGCCAGCACATCGGATCCAACCCCCATGTCGGTCCTCGGCGCGCTTTTGGTACCGGCGGGGCACCCTGAGGCCCATTTTCATGCCCCCTCCCCTCCGCCTCAATCCCAGTCATAGAGCCCTCGGCACAAAACGACGCCATCACATACGGAGTCCATCTGGCCCCCCTCCCCCCCACCCCCCCGGGCCCCTCGATAAAGCGCCGCCCCCCTTGACACACACACACCCGGCCAACCGCCACCGCCCCGCCGCGTGCAAAGATAGGCGCGGGGGTTTGACGGGTCAACGGTCGGTCAACGGGGGGTGAGCGCGAGGCGGCGCCGGGGATCGCCTCGCCTGGCGGAAGGCCAGGGAGAGGGGCATGTCGGATGCGGTACACGCCGCCCCGGGGGCGATCGGCTGGGCCGGCGGGCCGATTTTTCTGGTGAGTGGGTTTTGTGACTTTGCCGACCCTTGCGCCGGCGTGGGGAGTCGGCTATGAGGATCATCGGACGGTGGCTGGCGCGTTTGAGATCCACCTTGGCGTCGAAAGCTCGGCTGAAGTCACGGGTCGTGTTGCCGCGATGAGGGGCGCATCGGGACCGGCGGTAGCTGGCGGCGAGCGGGAAGAGCCCACCTCCCCCCCGCCTTCACCTCCCGCAGCGCCTTCTTTGGGCGGCCGGAGGCGGCGATTTGCGGCCCAGGGTTTTGGCGTACCACATCGGTTCCCTCACGGGGCGGTGGCCCGATCCGGCGCGATTTCTGGTACCGAAGTCGCGCAGCGAGGCGGGCCATGGACATGGGCGCTCGCGCAGAGCTGGGTCCGAGCTTGGTGGCGCCATGAGGGTGGGTCGCGGCGCCGGGAGGCCGGTCTCGCAGGAGCGCCTTTCGCGCGTGGGGGAGGCGCCGGCCAGCCCACCCGTCGCCCCGGCGAAGATCTTCCTTGCGTCCTGGAAGACGCGGAGAAAGTTGCTCTCTGCGGACAGGATCAAGCAATCACGACCGCTTCACCGGATCTTTGGTCCCCCGCGGCCGATGCCCGCCCCCCCTCCCCTCTTTCCGTGCTGGCCCCACCCCTCCCTCCCTCCCGTAACCGCTCATGCTGCGGCGGGCTGTCGCTTTTCCGTCGGCGACAGCAACTGACCCACAAACTGGCGCGAACTGAACCACGGAGTCAAACCCGCGCGGGTCAGGTTGCTGGTCGGGAGAGTGAACCCGCCCTCCCTCTCCACGCCTCGACCTGCCGTCTGCGGGACTCAAGTTTGATGGGACGCGCCCCTCCGCATCGAAAGCTTGCCATGGAAGGTCCCTTGCCTGGCCTCACCGTGACAGCCGTCTCGGCGTGGCCATCACGGGCTTAGTCACGGATGTTGCGGCCGGCTGCGCGTCATGCTGATGTGATGGGCATGGGGCTTGTTGGCTGCCAGCGCCGCTTGAGTCGGCCTGAACGGACGAGGGGTGCTGACTGGCGCACGAACGAGCCCGCGAGTGGGGTTGACGGGGGCCTCACATGTACTGCCCGTACCGCAGCATTGTACAATTCTGTGCAAATTTGCATCGCTTCCACCCGCGCTGGTGCGCAGGTGGGTGGGGGCCCCCACTGGCACTGCTCGCGTCCCCGTAGTTTAGGACTCTGCAGATCAGGGCGCCCATAGTTTGGGGCACTGGTGGTTCAGGGCGCTTGTAGTTTGGGCCTGCCGTTTGGGTCGATGCCATCAGTTGTACAGTCGTGCTGCCGCACACAAGGCTTGGCCTCGAGCCTCTCCGTGCTCCAAGAAACAGGCCGCATCCCGTGGGGCCCCGCGGGCAGCATGCGTGTGCCTGCTTGCAAGGTTTGCCAACTGCACGTCCGAATGTGCCGTCAGTCGAAATGCGCATACCGTGCGGAGCGCGAGACTTCAATGTGCTGCGCCTGCTTAGTGTGTACGTGGCAACTGTCTCAAACTGCACTCACAATACCATAGCTGGAAAGTATGGCACAAGGCTCAGTGCTTTATAGTACTTAATTGACCATTTCTTCCCTGAAACTGCACCTCACGTTAATCGGCACCGTACGTTGCTCTTGCAGGCATGCCTTCCTTGGCAGGCGCATACGTCTGTTCTAAAGCACTGAAATGTTAAACCAGAAGTACTTAATGTAAAGTACCTGACCATGACCGCCATCTCAGTTGGCTGCAATATTTTGCATTATGGATGAAAGGGCGAAATGGGGAAAGTTTTTTTTTGTTTTCTATGGCATGGTCCGACTGGCTAAGTGTTTCGGCTCGAGTCACATGTACGCATGTGTCCATTCCTTGGGTATACCAAAGATACAAAGAAACAGTCTTTCAATAAAACTTTCCAGGCGCGCCTTCTCCGAAGTCATCCACGTCAGTTACGTCGAACATTCCTCGAATTAATGATTCATTCCTTAAATGATGCGTTACGGTAATCTCTTTGAAAACTTAAATTTTGGAAAATTATGCGGCAATCAGCTGTTGAATAGATTGTATTGTCCCACATACTGGCGTTGTTACAGCCGCCACAAATGGAAATTTAAAAATTGCTGAAGTGCACAAGTAAAGCGAAATGCGGCGCATCATGCAAGCATAACCGAAATCTTATTAATGCATTATCTGTGCATTATGGATTGCTCGAATTGCGTGTAGTGTAGTGCACAAAGCGCGAGGCCATTGCCTGCTCTTTTTTTTACATCTCTAATCTTCCAGTACCCAGAGCAGTGTATAGACCACTTTAAGCACACCCTCAGCTCCAGAACCAAAGTATTAATGGGAATGAATTTCAGGGAAAAAACTGACTTTGTAAATCCACAGTACATGGCTTCATTCACTTGCAGTGTTTATTCACTTTCCATGTATCTTTAATGTACTATTTGTGGATCATTGCGTTCCTTTTATTTATTGTGCAGACTTTACTCCACCAGGCTTATGGCTTTTATTCTATTTTAGTCACGCCCTCTGCAGATAAGTCTGCAGGGGGGACTAACTGGAATGACGGTGTGCCACGTGGCCGCAGGATGGCAGCTATAAATAGAAGCCCAGTAGAGAGTAGAGTATTCTGGGCTATAGTACATTATTCACGTGGACAAAAGATTATTCTGGTAGTTGATAGTACTGTTCTTGAAGAGCGGAACAAGTTTGGGGCTGACGGTGCTTCGTGTGGTGGCAGAGCGCCAGCCATGAACGAACCTAGTAGACAGTAGGTTATGCCAGTGGATAGCAGATGATCTATTTGTTTTAGCGGGTAAAAGATTGTTCACGAGGTGCAAGCGACTTTGTCTGAGGCGCTCTTGTCTGATTGTGCACTTGACCTTGTCTGCGGTTGCAGGGCGCCAGCTACAGACCTGGTAGACAGCTGATTATTCTACATTCTACTATACTATGTAATCGACAATTTGTTTATTTTGGTGGGCAGTAGATTGTTCTCGAGGCGCAATTGACCCTGTCTGCGGTCGCAGGGCGCCAGCTACAAACCCGTGGTCAAGGCCCCGCGGATCGGCCTGGAGCCCCCTGGCAGCCTGCCCGCCTCCATCTGGTCCACCCAGTCCACCTCATGGCTCACGCCCCCCTCCAAGCTCAACCTCGCCGACCTCCAGCACGACGTCATCCGCCAGAAGGTGGCGTCATCCGCCCTGCCCGGCCTGGAGATATCCCTGCGGGGGTCGTTGCCCTGGGCGTCCGCTCCGGGGACGTCGGCCCCAGAACTGTCGGTGTCGTTGCCGGAAGCGCCGATGTCGGTGCGAGACGTGTCAGCGCCGATGCCGGCGGGGGCGCTGCCAGCGATTGGTTGCGCGTGGATGGGGCGCGGGGCCCGCGGGCGGGGCGACGACCAGAGCCGACCTCTGGGGGCGCTGATCGCGGGGGCGGAGTCGGTCGCCGACGGTGAGCGTGAGCTGAAAAGGCATTGCCATATAACATTCAACCTTTTCGCATTTTGAAATTTCGCTGTTGCGCTGTTTGCGCTGCATTTTTCTTTCCAGAGCGTTGTTTGTCTTTTCTACGTTGCTCTGCAGAAGATTTGTTTGACGTTGTTCCGCAGAACAGGCCAGGCGTTGCGCTGCTATGCAAAAGTGTCCAATAAAATAGTAGAATACTATAAAATACATAAAAATACTACAGAATACTATTAGTAGTAGTGTGCGTTTCCGTGCAAGGTATGATGGCATTTTATGTCATTGCTGTCTGATGAAACCTCACATGACGTGTGCTTGACGACATGCTGTGCCACTGTTAGCTTCACCGCCATACTGCAATGTACGGCGGCACATTACGCTGAATGGATGATGCGTTTGCATGCCGATGTCTCAGATACGTTCGGACGACGCGCTGGAGAATGTAAATTATCTTTGAGTTTCTTGCCGGTTCACATATATTTTTTAAATTACACAGCTACCCGACATCAAGCAGCGCTGTTTTTTGGTTGCCGTGCTTTGAATCTATTTTGCACAACACTACACAGTAATGTTATGTCAATCCTGTATGTGCTTGCGTTCCGGACCTTGTACTTGACGAACGTGTGATTGCCGCCAGGACGGCGAAGTAGCGGCGAAGGTGCAACAGACCTGATGCAGGCAATGCCGAAAGTGCGCACGTTGAGAAGCGGGTACGTATGCAACATATACTTGATAGCACAGAGTACACAGCTGCATAATCTGCAGCACATATTATGCTGCCATATGATTGGTCCATTTTTTGGAATAGGGTGCAGGTAGGTATGCAGGGTATATTGCACCGCACATGACAAACCTAGTGTCACTGCATGATCAAAAGTACTTCCTCCGTCCAAGATTAGTTGTCCTCTATTTGAAAGACAAAATTCGTTATAAGGACAGCCTCAAAATTACAAAGCAGGCTAAAAATCGGAAAGATTGGGTTACAAAACCCTTCACTAACAATTCCCAAGAGGTAAATTTTGGTCATTTTGAGCCCCAAGTAACGATGTTTCCTAGGTAAAAAGACTCTTGATACAACGTACTGCAAAGTATTCGATGCCTAACGGATTGACTTCAAATTTTGACAATATACTCCAAATTTGGAGTACACTGCTGTCAACTTTCAATTTGAAAGCACAATTTGGGTGAGACTTCGCGAAAAATGACGTAGGCACGATAAAAAGTTAATGCCCCAGCATCAAAGTCAAAGAGGACAATTAATATGGGACAGAGGAAGCAGTGCACTGGTTATCAGAAGTACCATGAAACATTATGCAGTGGAAAAGCCGCTGGGTGTGCGGAGCCTTGCCGTGAACAAGACGCTATTTTGGTGTGGCGGCAACCAAGCGCGAAGGAGTCGCAAATCCTGGACCGGAATCACCTGCGTTCAAATTGCTGACGCGCGCGCCGTGATTGCATGCCCCGTGCCGTTGTGGACAACAACGCGATTGACAACAATTCTACACAATATGTAGCCTTTAACAGTTTCGTGCCAGGCACTCTGACTCAATTTGAAGAAAATGACCAGTGGTTGACAAGAGCAAGCCTTTCTAGAAGGTTGGCTGTTTGCTTCAGACATAAAAATATAGTACAACAAGCATAATTCTTTTTACGATAACACACAAGTTTCAGAGGTGCATCGCCGTCATGTCTTAGGTTCAAATGATCGGCTCAACCATAGGGCGGAGACCGGAAGCAGTGTTCCACACATTCCCCACGCGAACTATAACACCCGACTGCGAGGCCTAGCCATCCTCTCACCATAATTGAAAGATTATTGCCTGAAATAATTCCCAAGTTAGTGTTGTCATTTTATCATAGCCAAAAAGTTGAAAATTTGGCGTTTGAGCACTGTTGTCGCTTTGCAGCACAGTACGCTTGAGGGTTGGCGCCCCACGCTGTCGTACTCGCAGAACGCGCCTCTTGCAACATTTCATAAATCCGTAAAACTCTCTGTGCCCAAAATCACAAAGGGACGGCGAGGTGGCGGGCCCCAGGATAAGAGAATTGTCAGAAAATCTGCTATGTGCACTCACGTTCTGGCTAGAAGGTGTATTCGAAGCACAAGCTACTTTTCCGCGTCTGTTTCTTCTTCGTTTCAAATTGCCTCGTCATGTTGGAAATTCCAAACGGACAGGAGCATCACTTGTTGTTGATCAGATGGGTGGAACGTCATTTGCGGGAAGTGCTTTGAAATTTGGCGCACCTGACGCCTGCATGCCGCGCTGCCTTGCAGGATCGTTGAAGTCCGCCTGAATCTGCTCGTCGCCGGCTTCATTATAGGTCAGAAACCGCTGGAGAAAGGGCACGCTGTTCAGACAGTAATGCATGATAATGTGTTTGTTTGAATGTGAATGCACCTTTTGAAATGAAAAAACAAACCTAATGCGACGTTGTTCCTACCATGCACCTACAACCAGGAAACGTCACGCGTTTCCTCGTAATGTTCAATGTTGATAATGTGTGCGCGGTTGCGTACGTTTTTTAACTTGGCATTCATGAATTCAATACTGCTCAACATCAGCCGAGTGGAATGGAATTTGAGGCAACATGGCCTCGAAGTCGCAGCCAATACATTCGCCAACAGCTTTGCTATTGACTCCGACTTTGTATTGCTTAAGAATGATATTGAATTAAGCAAGCTAACATTCCCGATGAAATGATCTAACAATGCATTCGTTTCACGTTCGGCATGTGGAAATTTTCCTGTGTTGCCAGAGCGTCACCCTTGTGGTAAAGCCGCTTGAATGGGAAAGTAAAACTAACTATAATTCCATTAGTTGTAGTTTATAGGCTGCCTGACAAATTGCGGAATTTCGCGCAGCATTACAAGGTAGCGTTTGCTGTGTAAATTTATTAGAAAATGTGGGCAAGAAGAATCTTGCAGTTGGTTGGATTCCAAATTAACGGCTTTGGTGCTCATAGCCTTTTTTCACGCACGATTGGGAACTCCGTGAGAGGGTCATGATTGAAATATTTTCTGCTTCTGAACAAAAAATCAAACTAAAGTGTTTAACAACATAAACAAGTTCAAATAGAATATGCTGTGAGATTTTGAAGAATTATGTCGGCAGTCTGCAGATAATGATGGATCGGGCTGTATGTCGTTAAGAAACAATAGCTTTTCACATGCTGATGTGACAATATCTATACATCAGTCCGGTAGTACTGAATCAGTACAACGCATGCAACTGCTTTGTAACGATTCAGCTTGGGGCGTATATCACCATTCTTTCTAACGATTGAGCAACGCTGCTGGTCGCGCAAGCTTCACCATCTGCAGCAACCTCACCAGCGATATTGTTGTGACTAGAACTGATCGAGTACCATGAACAGTTGGGCGCATGAAGAGGTGATGAGGCATTAGGAATTGCACTAAGGACACTAATCGACGGACTGGACACAAGGGACAGAATTCCCGTTGTCCCCTTGGTGCGCTTCAAACCGTTGACGTGTGCTCGAGCCTGCGGTCGCTATTCAGGCGCCGCCGCCCCCTCGACCCTGCCTGCCTTCGTCAATGCCATCAGCTCTCTTGGTGCTGGCGCTCGGAATTCTGACTGATCCTGGCCGGTCAAGCAGGGTACCGCGGCAATTCCATCGAGGAGATCGTGAAGAAGACGGGGGCGGAAATATCCTCATGGACGGGGCGCCGATCGGCGAGCTGCAAGTCGGGAAAGATCCGAGTCTTCCTCATCCATGTGGGCGCCTCTGATGGACTGCATGTCCAACGAATGTGTCACAATTGCATGCGTAACATGGTAGCGTGGTAACGTGCAACGCAACATGGGAACATGGTAACTAGCATGAATCAGCAGTATATAAGTACAAAGTTACGAAAATGTGCTTGAAAAGTGATTCTGAGGCCAACGTCGAAGCGCTATCGCTGGCGGAAGTGGTGCCAAGAGCGCTGCTGAGAACGCACTTGTAGTATAGCAATATTGTTGTGTTGTCCCCGTGTGCTGTGTCGTGTTAATTGTACGTGTACTGCAGTACTTTGTAACCTAGCTCGATGATGATGCGGAGCACAGGCAATGCTTTAGAGCAATTTTTCGTTGAAGGGCGGTTCGCACAGCTAATATGCGATGTTCAGAGTCCTGACACCATACTTACGAATGTGATTGCGCGCGGCCACAGACTTTGTGGAATATGCAATTTGCTGCAAGCAGAACCCCTTGCGCCTTCCAGGCGTTGGCGCTGTGCTGGCCCACGACGCCTGCCGACTTCAAAGGGTCCAAACGGAGTAGCCACTTGTTTGTATTCGTGTCTGAACCTTTTTGCATGGCACACAAGTAAAAAAAGCGGCAAAAGTACGCCGTTTCTATCAGTTTAGGAATCGCGTAAACCGCGCCAAAACGTGTGAAAGTTATGTACAGTCACTCAATCAATACTACACGATTTGATCCCGTTTTTATCATATAAATACAAGATTTAACACGAATTCTATACGGTTCTACACGATTTTTAATCGTGCTACACGGTGCGCGATTTTCACAACCGTGTGTTTTGGCCTGTTTTTCACCAGTGGCATATGCGCGCAGGGATCTCCAGAGGCTGTCGCGTGGACCCTGCGAATCATGAACGCCGCCGCCATTCGATACATGGACCTCGTTGAAGGAAGCTACGCAGGTGACCAGCGCACCCCGCTCCAGCACCTCCACACCACCAGGCCTCAGCTATACCCCGAACCCTGGGAATGCACTCGACGGGTTCAGCGCTGACTATGTCGCACCGCCGCCGTTTTTATTATATTTTGGTGACATTCGTTATATCTATAACCAGTGTGTTGGTTATGTTGGCTGTTGGTTGTATTTAGTCGTTTCGTCATACATTGTTTGTATTGGCTGTATTGACCATTTTGTTTATATGCTGGTTGTGTTGGCAACATTTTGGCTGATGCCATGAAACACTCGTGCAAGGACTGTCGACATCTCCGTCGGCTCGTGGCGGCTGCGGCATGTTCAGTTGGGCGCTTGAGCTTTTGGTCGCCAGTGCACTTTGGGCGATGACCCTTCCCAGCCGGTGGTCGATACCATAGTATCGATAGTATTCCATGGGACATCGACAGCATACCGTGGGATGTCCCACAGTACGGATACTGCGGCCGATGGGGGGATTGTATTATGCATTAAGCGACGACAGCGCATTCTTCCAACAAATTCTCCTGATGAGTAAAACATCGGAATGTGAATGAAGTGGCCAATACAATAGCGAAAGTTATACATGGCATGATAGTCATAACGTGGTTTAAATTCTGTTTCTTTGCGTCACAGGTCGGCACGTGGAGGCCAGCCAGTGGGTGGAGGGTGTGGAATTTCGCTACATACCGCCCCCCAAGCACAAGGAGCCCTTTGCCGCCAGCTTGAAGCGCACCAACTATAGATGATCCGGCGGGGGCTTCTCGAACTCTGTGAAAGGCGGCCGCAGATCAGCACATACGATACGTTGGAATATCTTTGAGCCGTAGTCCCCAGTCCAATCTCAATATCGGGTCGACGATGTCAGATCTACACTACGAGGGCAAGTGTGATTTGCCCAGACCCGTTGCCCGCCGCAGGCTGCGAGGCGGGGGGATGGCTCAAGTGGCAGTTTTCGGGATTCGTGCCGGTTTACGTTTATTGATTACGGTATCACTATATAGCTGGAGCTCTGCGCCGCGTGGGGCGGTGCGTTTGAGAACGAATGTCGCCTCGAGGTCTGGGGGACAAGGGGGGCTTGCTTTTCTGGACGCACATAAAGTCACCGTTGTGAGAAAAGCGTTGTCCGGGCTAGGGGCGAGGGCGACGTGGGCGCCACGGAGGGAACAAAATGTGTTATGGAGAGAGCGCGAGAATGATTCTTTGCCAGGCCAATTCGAATCGAGCTCCTGCCTCGCTGGCATCCGTTGCGAATTAAAATGGCGGCACTTGCCGCGCGCGCGGTCCCACACGGGGCGCGCAGGCGTTGGAAGTTTTCTTTTGGGGTGATTCGGCTGTTTGATTCTCCCGGTTGGTGCCCACCGGAATTCAACATTTCATTCGGCGGAAGTGTAATGTACAACTTGTCAAGCGTTGGCGCTGTGGCCAGGATTTGGCAGATTAGAAGGCTAGAAAACGGAACATAAGCAGGAACACGGCTGTACACCGGTTCGACAGCGGCTGAGTGGCCTTGCTTTTATTTTTGTCAAGGGCAAGGCCGTCGCCCGTTGCTGGGGGAGGTCAGTCGCGCGCCCGTGCGGGCTGCTGAGACGGACCCCGCGCAGGCACATGTCGCTTGGGCTGTGCCGGTTTGGAGCGGGCAGGCGGCCCTCGGGATTGCCGCACGCGGGACGGCCGCGGTTCTTGAACGGCAGTTAGTCACGTGATCCGTCACGTGGTTTAGTAATGTGATTAGTTGCGGGCGCCGTGCGGGCAAGGGGTGCTCGGCTGGCATAAATGCCTGTTCGTGCCATCGGCCGCGTGGTTTGGTGGCACGCGGCCACAGGCATGAGCCTTCCTTTTGGTCGTGGGCGCCATGTTGGCGCAGGTGTGGTCATAGGAGGGGTGTTCGTTTTGCCGACTCACAGCGGCGCACGGGCCTAAGTCTGTAGTTAAGGGACAGCCGCGTGCCGCTGGTGGCGAATAGTTCCGCTCGGAAGCGGACATTGATAATGTCTTTTCTTCTTTTGTGGACTGAGTTTGTAAGCTCCCAGGCACGCGCCCCGCGTTGGGGGCGTCTGCCCGGGCGCATGCAGCGGCGCGCTCTGTGCCTTCGCGGCGATGTCCGTGGGGGAGTGGAGCCGCGCATGGGGGTGCCGGAGTGCTGTGGATGGGAACCTAGACTTAGCGGAAACTCTCGGGCTGTGAAACCGAATGTGAACCTGCGAAGAGGCGAATGGAAGAGTTGCGTTTAATGGCGTATGGCGACGGCTGCTGTGCGAGGTTGTGTGTGGTGTGCGCCTCCCGGAGCGCGAGAGCCCGTCCGTGCAATTCTTCGAGCGGTGGCGGAAGTTGTTCGCAAGGCGGCGTAATTTGAAGTTCGAGTGTTTGGACGCCGTAAATGCCAATCGCCTCGTGCCGCTGCCCAGCAAATTTGCATCCCTTGCTACTCAGTGCTTTGAGCAAAGGCGATGAATTAGGCAATGAATGGCTGCTGGCGGTGGATTTTGCAGGGACGTAAATTCAAGTCCATCTGGACATTCGGTCAGGAGCTGCCAATCTTGGGCTTTTACACCCAGCCATGAGGGTATAAGAAGTGGCGGGTAAACATGGAAGCAGAAACGCAAGGAGTTATGAACAGCGAATAAGTTAGGTTTACAAGGCCTTTGACAACTAGGACAAATTGCTTGCAACTGGAACGATCGTAACGTACAGAAGCTGTTCTGCAGGGACCCATACCGTATGTACCCGGTATTAGTAGGTGTGTATTGGAACCCAAAATGAGCTGTGGATAATAAAAGCGGGTCACGGATACCAACGCAATTTAGATTCCTGATCCGAGGAGTAAGCGAAGAAATTTTTTGAAGAACAATTCACGAAATGCCCGAAAATGGGCTTGAAACAATGCAAGATGCAGTGCATAGGTAGCAACATCACAACCCCAAAATGCGCTGTGGACAATAACAGCGGATCACGGATCTTATATTGTAAGCTGGGAACGCGGCTAAGAGCGCCCCGGAAATGAATTTCTGCGCCCCGGAAATGAATTTTTTAAAGGCTGACTCAGCGTTCTTGTGTAAGAATCGACCCCTGTGACAGGGGGTTACGTGAGTGGCAGGGCTCTCCGAGTCGGGTGCTGCGGGCATATGCGTTCCCGGGTGGCGCCGGTGGCTGCGCTCGAGGGCGGCCGACGGCAGGCACGCAACTACCGGTGCCGTGGCTGTGGCGCGCCGTGCGCGCTTGCGCTCGACGCGCACGTTTCCTGTCGCGATTCCGCGTCGTCGCGGCGGCAATGGAGACCATCGCTGGAGCCGATCGTCACAACGGCGATGGCCCGCACCCAAACGCGCGGCTCGGAGTTGCCGTTCCCGCGAGGGCTCCAGTCGAGCCGCGGAGGTACTCCAGGGCCTTCCAGTGCTCTGCTGTGGCAGGCATCGGCGCAGCGACCGCGGCACCGGATGCAATCAGTGCGCCCCTCAAGGCCAAGCATTCGGGGCCCCCGGGCCCTGAAGTAAAGTTCTGGAAAGCGGAGCGCGGGTGTGCGGCTCCCACTCGGGTTGGGTTGCGTGCTTGAGCGCGAGCACGGGGTGGGGTGCGGACCTCCGCCATCGCGATCACAGCGTGCGGTGTGTGTTAATCACGAGTTGTGAGGGTCGAATGCGCTTTGGCCAAAGCGATGGGTCGATTGAGGGCCATGCGGCTGCGGCGATGGCTTGCGAATCACGCCCATGGCAATGGCACGCGACGGCGATGGTGGTGGGCGATCCCGGTAGAGGTCTTGCCGAAGCCAGCGCCAGCTCTCGAGGTGCGGAGTTGTGCGTTGCGATACTGGGACGCGAGTCCCCGTCGCCGCACTGGCGCTGACGGCCATCGCCAGCGCCGATGGCCGCAGCAGCGATGGCTTGGGTCCCAAAACTCAACAGTCGAAGGTGCAGCCCCACGCGAGGGCCCCCTCCGGCGCGGGGAGCTGCTCCGTTTCCCTGAACGCTCTCTGCCGTGACAGCCATCGGCACGGCAAGGGCAGCACGCGAGGCAATCACCGCCCACCTCAAGGCGAGGCGTTGAGGCCGTAGACCTACGAGTGAGTTGATGCGTTTATTGCGGAGGTCGGTTGCGTGCGTCCCGCCCTGCCCGATGGGCGTGCTTGAGCGCGAGCACGGGGTGGGGTGAACAACCCCGCCATCGCGACTACAGCGCGCAATGTGTGACAATCACAAATTGAGACTGTCGAATGCGATCCAGCATCCGTGCGTCAATCAGCCAATCTGGCTGCAGCGGTTGTTTTGCAATCCAAACGTACGGGTGGAAACAGGATCCGCGGGAGGGCTTCCCCAGGATTTGTTGTCGAAGGAACAACATCAACTGCGGAGCCCAGGCACCGAGTGAGCAGGCTGTTAATAATAACGGATGAAGCAGGAACGAAAAAGTGCAGAACGTCGGGGCCGAAGGCCCGACTTCTGGACTGGTACTAACACAATTTAGATTCCTGATCCAAGGAGTAAACAAAGAAATATTTTGAAAAACAGTTCACGAAATGCCCCAAAATGGGATTGAATCAATGCAAGATGCAGTGCATAGGTAGTAACATCACTACCCCAAAATGCGCTGTGGACAACAACAGCGGATCATGGATACTAACGCAATTTAGACACCTGATCCAAGGAGTAAACAAATATATTTTTTTAAAAATAATTCACGAAATACCCCAAAATGGGCTTGAAACAATGCAGCATCACGAAGTCAAAG